GCCCGCCTGCGCGCGGTTCAGCTCGCGCTCGATGTGCTCCTGCAGGTGCCGCTGCTGCTTCTTCACCTGCTCCTCCAGCACGGCGAACTGGGCACGCCACTCGCGGTCCTGTGCCTCAAGCTGCGCCACCTCCTGCGCGAGCGCGGCCTTCTCTTTTGTGAGAGTCGCGTTTTCCTCTGCGAGAGCCGTCCTCTCGCGCTCTAGTCGGCGCGCCTCATCAAAGACGCGCTCCAACTCTTCAGTCTTCTTCTGCAGCTGCTGCACAGCCCGGAGGTAGTTCAGCGACGACGGGGACGTCTCCATTGCACCGACCTTGCTGCTCTTTTCACTGCGTGTGGGCCCAACGCGGGGGCTTAAGGGGGGAGGGGGCGCAGAGCATGCAAGGGAGGAGAGGCGCTGCTGCAGAGCGAGGGACAGACACCACCACAAAGAGAAGAAAACGCACACACACACACACACGCAGAGAGGCACGCATTAAGACACATACAGGCCTTCCACCATAATCCGCAACGACTGATAGCCAACTCCAGGACAACAAAGTAAAACAAGCATAAAGAAAGGGCGAGAGTGAGTGAATGAGAGAGAGAGAGAGCACTCCTCGTTACACATTCATGTAAACATGCGCTAAACACAAATACCCATACGCACACACACACACACACACACCTCCTCTCTTCTCTCCCACCACACCGCTAGCAACGCACGGACCAAAAAAAAAAATAACGCAACCAGCAGCAACGAAACCAAAAAAAAGACTCTTCACCACAGCGCGTAGTGCCTTTCCAGCACGCCTGTCACGTTGTCAAAGACATACGTCGCACCGTCGACTTCAATGGCGCCTTCAAATACGCCCCACGCGTGGTCCAGGTTGCCATCCACGAGGCCGAAGTGGAGCTCGCCGTCGTGTGCATCGACGCGGCGGAAGCGCAGCTGCACGCCGTCGCCTGTAATTACCCACGTCGCCTCCGCCGCCACGTCCGGGCCCACGCCTCTCTGGAACTCCACCGCCGTGTCGAGCAGCCGCACTCGCCCCGCGGCGTAGAGTGTGTTCTCCACGCTCCTGTTGCCCACGTCGTACGTCCCCTCCGAGAGGTGGAAGCCGTGGCCGGCGGCGGCGGTCGCGGAGGCCCAATGCCACCGCGTCTCGCGGCGCAGCAGGCCGCGC